TCTGTTGCTATAGATTAGTTTGCATTTTCTAGAATCTTATATGAATGGAATAATACAATATGTAGTTTTTTTTGTTTGGCTTCTTTTACTCACCATAATTATTTTTAAGTTAATTGATGTTATTAATCAGTAGTTCATTCATTTTATTGCTAGATAGTATTCCATTATATGAATATACTGCAATTTATTTAATCAGATTCACCTATTGATGCACATTTGGTTGTTTACAGTTCTTGGCTATTGCAAATAAAGTTGCAATGAACATTCGTGTACAATTCTTCGTATGGATCTATGCTTTCATTTCTCTTGGGTAGATGCTTAGGAATGCAGTACTATGGAAGGTACATGTTTAACTTTTTAGAAGCTGCTGAACTGTTTTGCCATGTACCATTTTACATTCCTACCAGCCATTTATGAACATTCCAGTTGTTCTGCATCCTCACTAACACTGGATATGGTCATTCATGTTAATTTTAGCCATTCTAAAATTTAAAAAACCAAATTGTGACTTTAATTTGGATTTTCTTAATGATCATTGATATTGAGCATCTTTTCACGTGCTTATTTGCTATCTACATATCTTTGGTGAAGTTTCTGTTCAAATCTTTTGCACTTTTTTTTTTTTTTTTTGCTGTACTCGGGCCTCTCACTGTTGTGGTCTCTCCCGTTGCGGAGCACAGGCTCCGGACGCGCAGGCTCGGTGGTCATGGCTCACGGGCTCAGCCGCTCCGCGGCATGTGGGATCTTCCCAGACCAGGGCACGAACCCACGTCCCCTGCATCGGCAGGCGGACTCTCAACCACTGCGCCACCAGGGAAGCCCATGCACTTTTAAAAATTGGGTTGTTTTCTTATTGTTGAGTTTGAGAGTTCTTTGTATATTCTGGATACAAATACCTTTTCAGATGTATGATTTGCAGACATTTTCTGCTACTCTGTAGTTTGTTCTGTTATTCTCATAACAGTGCCTTTCAAAGAAGAATTCTTAATTTCAATGAAGTATAATTTATCAATTTTTTCTTTCATGGATTATGCTTTTGGGTGGTATCTAAAAAAATCTTTACCTAACCCAGGGTCACAAAATTTTTCTTTTATGTTTTCTTTTAGAAGTGCTATAGTCTTAGGTTTTATATTTAGGTCTGTGATTCATTTTAAGTTAATTTTTGTATATGCTGCAAAGTATGGATCTAAGTTTGTTTTTTCGTGTATAGGTATCAAATTGTTTCAGCTCTATTTGATGAAAAGACTATCCTTTTACTTAGTTGCCTTTGCATTTTTGTTGAAAATCAGTTAGTTGTCCACATTTGTGTGGTTCTGTTTCTGGGTTCTATATTTCATCAATCTGTTTATCTCAGTGTTAATGTCATTCTACCTTGTTTATAGTAACTTTATAATAAGTCTTGAAATCTGTAGTGTTAATCCTCCCATTTTGTTCTTTTCCAAGTTGTTTTGATTATTTTAAATGTTTTGCATTTCATATCAATTTTAGAATCAGCTTGTCAATTCCTACCAAAAAACTGCTGGGATTTTGGCTGGAATTTCACTGAATCTATGGATAAGTTTGGGAATAATTGATATTTTAACAATATTGAGTCATGGTACATCTTTCTGTTTATTTGGGCCTTCTTGAATTATCTCAGCAATATTTTATACTTTTTAGTATGTGAGTATACTAAGTATTTCACAACTTTTTTTTCAGATTTATCCTTATGTGTTTCATGTATTTTGATCCTACTGTACATAGTATTTTTAAGATTTCAATTTCTGATTGTTAGTTAATATATAAAAATACAGTTGATTTTTGTATATTGATCTTGAACTCTGCAACCTTGCTAAACTCACTTATTTTAGTAGCTTTCTTATAGATTTCATTGAATTTTCTATATAAATGATAATGTTGTCTTGTTAATGGAGACAGTTTTACTTCTTTCTTTCCAATATGGATATATTTTATTTCTTTTTACCCCTTATTTCATGGGCTAAAACCTTCAATACAATGTTGAATAGAAATGGTGAGAGTAGGCATCCTTTCCTTTTTCCTGATCTTAGGGAGAAAACATTCAGTCTTTTTCCACTATGTGTGATACTAGTTGTAGGTTTTTCATAGACATCTGCTATCAAATTGAGGAAGTTCTCTTTTATTGCTGAGAATCTTTATCAAGAATAGGTGTTGGCCAATCCAAAAATGGGCAGAAGACCTAAATAGACATTTCTTTAAAGAAGATATACAGATTGCCAACAAACACATGAAAGGATGCTGAACATCACTAATCATTAGAGAAATGTGAATCAAAACTACAATGAGGGGGCTTCCCTGGTGGCGCAGTAGTTGGCAGTCCGCCTGCCGATGCAGGGGACGCGGGTTCGCGCCCCTGTCCAGGAGAATCCCACATACCGCGGAACGGCTGGGCCCGTGGGCCATGGCCACTGGGCCTGCGCGTCTGGAGCCTGTGCTCCGTGGCGGGAGAGGCCACAACAGTGAGAGGCCCGCATACCACAAAAAAAACCCCACAAAAAAACCAAAAAAAAACTACAATGAGGTATCACCTCACACCGGTCAGAATGGCCATCATCAAAAAATCTAGAAACATAAATGCTGGAGAGGGTGTGGAGAAAAGGGCACCCTCTTGCACTGTTGGTGGGAAAGTAAATTGATACAGCCACTATGGAGAACAGTATGGAGGTTCCTTAAAAAACTAAAACTAGAACTACCATGTGACCCAGCAATCCCACTACTGGGCATATACCCAGAGAAAACCATAATTCAAAAAGAGTAATTGTACCCCAATGTTCATGGCAGCTCTATTTACAATAGCCAGGACATGGAAGCAACCTAAGTGTCCATCGACAGATGAATGGATAAAGAAGATGTGGCTCATATATACAATGGAATATTACTCAGGCATAAAAAGAAAGGAAATTAAGTTATTTGTAGTGAGGTGGATGGACCTAGAGACTATCATACAGAGTGAAGTAAGTCAGAAAGAGAAAACCAAATACCATATTCTAACATACATATATGGAATCTTAAAAAAAAAAAATGGTTCTGAAGAACCTAGGGGCAGGACAGGAATAAACACGCAGAAGTAGAGAATGGCCTTGAGGACACGGGGAGGGGGAAGGGTAAGCTGGGATGAGGTAAGAGAGTGGCATGAACATATATACACTACCAAATGTAAAATAGATAGCTAGTTGGAAGCAGCTGCATAGCACAGGGAGATCAGCTTGGTGCTTTGTGTCCACCTAGAGGGGTGGGTTAGGGAGGATGGGAGGGAGATGCAAGAGGGAGGAGATATGGGGATATATGTTTATGTATAGCTGATTCACTTTGTTATACAGCAGAAACTACACACCATTGTAAAGGAATTATACTCCAATAAAGATGTTTAAGAAAAAAAAAAGAATAGGTGTTGGATTTTGTCAAATGCTTTTTCTGCATCTATTGAGGTGATCATATGGTTTTTCTTTTAGTTTCTTAATGTACTAAATTACATTGATTTTCAAATCATTCTTGGATAAACCTTACTTAGTTATGATGTATTATCTTTTTAAAAATGGATTAAAGTTTTAGAAATAATTAAATGTTTTTTTTTAATTTTGGATTTTTTTTGTCATTTAAACCATTACGTGTACAGTTCAGTGGCCATAAGTACATTCACATTGTGCAACCTTCACCACCATCCATCACAAACATTTTTCATCTTGAAAAACTGAAACTCTATACCCATTAAACAATAGCTCTCCATTCTCTTCTCCCCCCAGCCCCTGGAAACCACCATTCTACATTCTGTCTTTACGAATCTGACTATTCTATGTACTTTATAGGAATGAATCATACAATATTTGTCCTTTTATGACTGGCTTATTTCACTTAGCATAATGTCTTCAGGGTTCATCCATGTTGTAGCATGTTACAGAATTTCCTTCCTTTTTAAGGCTGAATAATATTCCGTTGTATATATGTACCACATTTTATTTATCCGTTCATCTGTTGATGGAAACTTGGGTTTCTTCACCTTTTGACTATTTGAATAATGTGGCTTGCTGTGTCTTTTTTTTTTTTTTTACCATATTGTTGGATTTAATTTGCTATAATTCTGTTAAGAATTGTTGCATCTACATTCATATGGGATGTTGGTCTGTATATATATATTTTTGTAATGCCTTTATCTTTTTTGCTTTTAGAGTAATGCTGGCCTCAGAAAGTATTCTTTCCTCTTTAATTTTCTGAAAGTGTTGAATTCTTATATAGAAATGGTGTTAGTTTTTCCTTAAATGTTTGGTGGAATTCACCAGTAAAGCTTTCTATACCTGGAGTTTTCTTCATGGGAAGATTTTAAACTACAAATTTAATCTCTTTCATAGATACAGGATCATTCAGGTTGTTTATTTTTCTTGAGTGAGCTTTAGTACTTTGTGTCTTTCAAGAAATTTTTCTACTTCATCTAAGTTAAGATCATACTGCCCATGAGCTAAATCTGGTTTGCTGCCTATTTTTGGTAAATAAAGTTATATTGGAACACAGTTACTCCCATTTGTTATGTATTGTCTGTGACTTTGTGCTATGCTAGCATAATTGGATAGTTGCAAAAGAGATGGTATGGTCCACAGAGCCTAAAATATTTATTTTCTGGCCTTTTACAGAAAGTTTGCCAATCCCTGATCTTAGTTTTCAAATTTATTGGCATAAAATTGTTCATAATATTCCCCTATTATCCTTTAATATCTGTAGAATCTGTAGTGACAGATTCTACACCGTTTTCATTTCTGACATTGGTCATTTTTATTTCATTGATTTCTACTCCGATCTTAACTGTCTTCTTTATTCTGCTTACGTTAAATTTCATTTGCTCTTCCTTTTCTAGTTTCTTAAGATGGAGGCTGAGGTCATTGGTTTGAGACCTTTCTGCTTTTCTAGTATGGGTGTTTAGTGATATAAATTTCTCTTCAGGTACTGCTTTAGTAGTATCCCACACATTTTGGTATGTTCTGTTTTCACAGGAGAACGGGATCAGGGAAGTTTTCAAAGCTACTGGTAATTTTCTGTTTCTTAAGCTGGGTGGTAGGTACATGGGTACATTTATTTGTACATTCTTTATATCTTATACATGTAAATATTCTTTTGTATGTATTCAGTATTTAACAAGGAATTTTTAAAAAGTGTGAATGGGAGGTGAGGATGTAATTACCTTGTGGGTAGACATAACTCTCTTGAGCAGTTATATTGTACAGTGAAGCCGAGAAAGGGGGTAGTAATTTAAAAATGATGTGGAATAAAAGGAGAGACTCTTTTTGTGTTGTTTTGTTTTAAAGATGAGTGATTCCAAACCAAGTTTACTGATTCAAAGTTTGCAAATTCAAAAACTTTATAGAGCCATACCAGCAGGTATAAGAGTCATATCCTGATGTGAAAATTGACGTGTTTAACTAGAGGTTTTGCCTTAGAATAATAAGAACACCAAAATTTTTTTTTTTTCTCAGAAAGTTTGGTTTCTGCTTCAGTACAGAAAGCAAATACTTCCTTGAGTCCTGAGAATTTCATACCAAAAACTATGGCCAAATTATGTTGGCCTAACATTTTTTTCAAATCAGATGTTATAATTAGTTACCTGCCACCATAAATTATAAATAACTACCTTTTAAATATAGTCATAAAGGAGAAGGATGATGGTGGAAGAAATGTCTACTCTGTAAACAATGAAATAAACTGTAGCCAGCTCTTGTCTGTACTATGTTAATTGTTTAATGGTGTATAACTTCAGGATGCTTCATAAGACATCTGAGTGATCACTGAGCTATGCAACTTATTTTATTTCTGTATATATTTAAATACGTTTTAGAGGCCGGCAAGATAATAGAACATGAATAGCTAGTTGCTTTTTTCTGTTTCTTCTGTGTGGTATGTCTTGCCAATCCTTTTTTTCCCTCCAATAGGTTGTGTGGTTCCAGGAGCGGGTGCAGTTGAAGTGGCAATAGCTGAAGCTCTAGTTACATACAAGCACAGTATAAAAGGAAGAGCTCGTCTTGGAGTCCAAGCTTTTGCTGATGCTTTACTCATTATCCCTAAGGTAGAACTATCCTAATGGCCAAAGAACAACTGTTTAGACAAAAGGTGTCTAATTAATTTTAAATTGCCCATTTTATGTATAACAGTAGAGTAGAAAGATAGGTATTTGTATTTCCCTACACAGTTTTGTTTAAGATATTATATAGCTAAAGCAGGGAAGTTTTTAGGATAACAGCTCTGAATTCTTGTAGGAGTTTCATGAAATGGCTCAATTATCACTTTGCTTCCATCTCTGAGCTCCAAAAGTTGAAGTAACTCCAAAAATTTCCTTCAAAAATGGTTCACGATTAATCATAATGAAGAAGTGTAGAACGTAAAATTTAATTAGATTTTGAGTAGACCTTTATTATGTTGGTGGTATCCAAAGTATTAGCACTTTAAATTATGGGAAGTGAGAACTTCAGGCTTGCATTTGTCATTGTCATTATAATTCCTAGAAAAGGAGAGAAACCAGTTTTTTTCCATGTACCAACAGAAGGACAGAGAACTACCATTTTTTTCCTTTGCCTTAATCTGATTGTGAACTACTTGGAAACACAGAGAACTCTTTCAAATATACTATTACCATGAATTAAAACATTACTAACAATGCTAGCAAAGTCTCTGATAATTGCTTTAAAATTATTAATAATTTGTTGAATCTTTGTGCATTAGATATCCATTTTTTTCTTCCCCTGAAGAGGCAAAGTCATTAACGATCCTATAGTTAACAAATATTGGTAAATCTGGTAGACATTTGGTGGTACCTTTTCACTCATCAGCTGTTGGTTTAGGACCACTTGGAAATAAACCTCGCTTGGAGTGCAGGTATCTCCATCCCTGTTGCCACAGGTCATAACTCTCCTCATGTGAATGAGGGGCACAGATATAATGCAGATAGGCAGGTTTAACAAGTGCCCAGGAAAAACCAGAAAACATGTGGCTAGAGGGACTAAACAAACAAGAATACCATTCTACTTCCTTCCGTTTAAAAAAAAAATCTTTTGCAAGGAGGTGTTAACCGAGAGGGACCCCTTCGGGGACCCTTGTCTAACACTCGGAAATGAATTGTCCGAGGAGACACACATACTGATAAAGCAAAAGACTTGGGTGCTCGAGCAGAGAACAGCAGGGTAAGGGAACCCAGGAGAGCTGCTCTGCCTCGTGGCTTGCAGTCTCAGGTTTTATGGTGCTGGAGTTGGTTTCCAGGTTGTCTCTGGCCAATCATCTTGCTTGTGCCATATTTGGCCCGACTCAAGAACCTTCCTGGTGGGCGTGCACATCTCTCAGTCAAGATGGATTCCAGCATGAGGATTTCTGGGAGGTTGTCAGGACATATTATGGGCTGGTGTCTCCTCCCTCTTTTTGGCCCCTCCCAAATTCTTCTGGTTGGTTTTGGAGGCACCTTGTCAGTTCAGTGTTCCTTATCAGGACCTCCTGTTGTGAGACAACTTATGCAAACGGTGGTTTCAGTCCACAGTTCCCTAACAGAGGGAAATTAATGTAGCAGGGTGGGGTGGGGAAACTCTAATTAGTCTTCGTCAGAATTTAGTGTGATGTACGTAGGGAAAATGTTTAAATATAAAAGTTACTAGGTACATGAAATAATTTGATTTAGATTAAGAATGGAATTCTTCAAAAGGAGATGATTACTATATTATGGATGTGTTTTCATAAGACTGGAGAGAGCAGTGCCTTATTTTTTATATCTGATATTTAAATATATATGAAGGAATTCCATACATATATTTATTATTATTTTTTATTCCTAAAGGTTCTTGCTCAGAATTCTGGATATGACCTGCAGGAAACACTAGTGAAAGTTCAGGTTGAGCATTCAGAATCAAAACAACCTGTTGGCATAGATTTGAATACAGGTAAGAAAGTAAAGAAAAATCAGCTGCTTAATAAAAAAAGAGGTTATACTACAGTGACCCAGAACTTAAGTAAGGGGGTGGAGGTTTGGATGGCTTTTTTTTTTTTTTGGCGGTATGCGGACCTCTCACTGTTGTGGCCTCTCCCGTTGCGGAGCACAGTCTCGGGACGCGCAGGCTCAGCGGCCATGGCTCAGGGGCCCAGCCGCTCCACGGCACGCGGGACCTTCCCGGACCGGGACACGAACCCGCGTCCCCTGCATCGGCAGGCGGACTCTCAACCACTGCGCCACCAGGGAAGCCCTGGATGACTTTTATATTTAAATTTTGGGTGCCTTTGTTTTACGTTTGAACTTCTTAGAAGCAAGTATTCATTCACTTAAGAAATAGTTACTGAGTGCTTGTTATTTGACTCGGGATTCACACAGAACAAAACAAAGACCCTTCCCTTGTGAGCTTATGTTGTAGCAGGGAAAGATAGGCAGTAAATAATAACCTTAATAAATAAGTTCCTTTAACATTTTTAAAGGTAATAAATTCTGTGAAAAAAATAAAGGGACAGTGTAAGGATGATTGTGAATGCTAGCACAGGAGTGTGGGGAGGGGGTTTCAATGGGAAGAGGGTGGTCAGGATAGGCCTCATTGAGAATATCTGTTGAACAAAATCAACGAAAGTTAGGAAGTTCCACGTGGGAACTAGGGAAAGAATGTCCTAGGCAGAGGGAACAGCTAGTGGAAAAGCCACTGTCTGGTGTTCTCGAGGAGGAGGGAGATGAGAGAGGTAATAGAAGGTCAGATCACGCGAGGGCGTGTGGGCCAGTGTACAGAGTTTGACTTTTTCTGTGGTGGAATAGGGAGCAATTTTGAACAGAGGTGTGACATGGTCTAAATATGTTTAAAAGGATCACTCTTGCTACTCTGTGGAGAGTAGTCAACTGAACAACTGGAAGGAATTGCCATTAAGTGCATTGGAGAAGACTGTGGGTAGAGCATGTTGTGGTAGCCGGAGGTCAGCATTGAGTTTTGGCAAAGTTAAGTTTGAAGTATCTGGAGACTTTAAAATAGACAGTTGGATGTACAAGTCTGAAGCTCAGGAAAGTGGTCCGGCTTGGAGATAAAAACTTGAGAGTTGTCAGAGTGTATATGCTTTAAATCTAGAAGATTGGGTGAGATCATCTAGGGAGTGAGCGTAGAGAGAGAAGAATGCAGGACTGAGCCTTTGGGTACTCTAACATTAAGAGCTCAGGAGGAAGAGGAAGAACCAGCAAAGTAGACAGAAAAGGAACCACTAGTGCAGAAGAAAAAAAACAGGCAAGTGTGATGTCCTGGAAGACAAGTGAAGAAAGAGTGGTTGGGAGGGTGTGATCAGCTGTGTTAGTTAAGTGCTGCTGATAGATGAGGTCTGAGAATTGACCTTTGGATTTGACACCATGGAGGTCATTGGTGACCTTGATAATAGTAATTTTGGTGGTATATTAAATATTGTTAGAATATACAGCCAATATTAACAGAATATATCAAGATTGTAGTATTGAAATAGTTTGTTTTTCCTTTGCAGGTGAGCCAATGGTAGCAGCAGATGCAGGAGTTTGGGATAATTATTTTGTGAAAAACCAACTTCTTCACTCTTGGTAAGTTTGTATTAGTAAAAAGAGAAAGACTTTTAAGGACATAATTGATAACATTAAGATTTTTCTATTATTTTTGCCTGCTACAGTGGAAAATGGCTAAGTGTATGAAAAGGCATGGTATCCAGTTATTAAGACTAGCTTCTGTCATTTTACAGTCCCTTTTAGATTTTAGTTCTATCAGTGTAAGTTATGGGAAATGTTAATCTTACTGTTTATTTGAGGGAGAAGGGAAAGAAGGACATTTACTGAAATAGTACCACATGCATAGTGGGAAAAAGATCAAATGATGTGCTAAAAATGAGCTCAGTTTTGCTGGAATATAAAATTAGGCTTCTACTTTATCAGCAAATGAGTTGAAATTATAATGCAAGGGGTGATGTTTGTATTTATAATAGCTATGTCTTATCTCACACCAACATCATTGCAGAACAAAGTGTCATTAGTAGCTGAAGATTTCTGAGGGGGAAAGATAAGAGTGGATTAGTAAGCTTTACTCACCCTGTCATCTTTTCCCTCAGCACAGTGATTGCCACCAACATTCTCCTGGTTGATGAAATTATGCGAGCTGGTATGTCTTCTCTCAAAGGGTGATTGAGTTCAAAATCAACTCTTCTAGAAGCTGAGACTTAGCACATCTTACATCCAACTACCATTATAGAGCCTGAGCCATTCTTAATTTTTACACAATAAATGCAATTTGTATTTGGTGGTCTTATAAGTCTCAAAAGTATTTCATCAAGGTATAAAGAACACAAGAAATACTTTCACAGCAAATAATATTAATGAAAGTATTTTTCCCTCGAAGTTCTAACTCCCTACCCTTTATTGTATGTGTGATATTATGATATAATAAGAAATATATATTTGGCCTATTTTATTTTATTTTATTATTTTTGGCTGCGTTGGGTCTTTGTTACTGCTCGCGCACTTTCTCTAGTTGCGGCAAGTGGGGACTACTCTTCGTTTCGGTGCACAGGCTTCTCATTGTGGTGGCTTCTCTTGTTGCGGAGCATGGGCTCTAGGACGCACAGGCTTCAGTAATTATGGTGCGTGGGCGCAGTAGTTGTGGCACATGGGCTCAGTTGCTCCATGGCATGGGGGATATTCCTGGACCAGGGATCTAATCTGTGTCCCCTGCACTGGCAGGTGGACTCTTAACCTCTGTGCCACTAGGAAAGTCCTATATTTGGTCTTTATCCCCAGTTCCTGGCACAAGATCTGCTAAAACCTTTGTAATTTCCTGAGCAATAGGGGTGACAGGAACATTTTTTATTATAATATTTAGTCTTGGTCCTGGTTCCTGACATACGATCTTTTAAGACCCTTGAAATCTCTGGAATTAATGAGTATCTTTTTGTATGCTAATGAGGTAACTCTTGATGGGCCACTAGATAGCTTCAGGTTGGGGGCTAGTCTCCAGAGGAACCAACCATGTGATTAGAGGGTTAGAACTTTAAGCCTCCCCGCCCTGGGAGGGAAGGAAAAGGGTATGGAGACTGAGTTACTGATCAGTTATACCTACATGATGAAGCCTCCATAAAAAAATCCCTAAACTATGGGGTTTGGAGAGCCTCCAGGTTGGGGAACATATATCCATATGCCAGGAGGGTGGTGGACTCCAACTCCATGGAGACCGAAACTCCTATATTCAGGACTCTTATCGCCCTATATACCTCTGCATCTGGCTGTTTATTTATATTCTTTATAATATCCTTTATAATAAACTGGTAAATGTAAGTAAGTGTTTCCCCGAGTTCTGTGAGCTGGTATAGCAAATTATCAAACATGAGGAGGGGGGTCATGGGAACAGAAGTTGGACAGAAGTGTGGGTAACATGGGGACCCACCACTTGTTCATTGATGTCTGAAGTGGAGGACAGTCTTGTGGAACTGAGCCTGTGGGGCTCAGTTCTGTGGGGTCTATGCTAACTCCCAATAGTTAGTGTCAGAATTGAATTGTAGGACACCCAGTTGTGTCTGGAGAGTTGTAGAATTGGTTGGTGTGGGAAAATCCCCACACATTTGATATCAAAAGATTGTGAGTAGAGGAAACAATTTTCCTTTAGTATGCTATTGCAGTTTTCATAAAATAGAATCTGTTGTGATTCTTAGATGTTTTTGGGCAACTTTTTAAAAAAATATATTTACTTATTTATTTGGTTGCCCCGGGTCTTAGCTGTGGCTTGTGGGCTCCTTAGTTGTGGCACGCGAACCCTTAGTTGCAGCTTGCATGTGGGATCTAGTTCCCTGACTAGGGATCGAACCCAGGCCCCCTGCATTGGGAGCTCAGAGTCTTAACCACTGTGCCGCCAGGGAAGTCCCTTGGGCAACTTTTAATGAACAAAATACGGAGCACAGGTTTTAGAGTACCCAAGTCAATTTCCAATTTGTCAGTGGGTATAAATGTAACAGGGCAAAATGTTTTATTCTCTCAAAATTCCTTTAGTAACTTCTTGCTGCCACTCTTTTCTCTAATAAATATGGCATCACTTTGTTAGTATAGCTTTGTTTCACTGATACCTGACAGTTTATTTTGAATATAGTTTATTATATTTTACCTGGCTCTTTCTTATACATGATTAGCAATTTACACTACTGTGCTAACTCTGGTAGTTCTCTGACTGGATGATTAGATAGAACAGACCTCATCTGGAAAGGCTGGGATTATTGGCACCAACACTGAGAAATAATTTTTTTTGGCTTTGAATGCTGCTATTCTATATCAGTATTATAGCAATATCTTTCTTATTCAAAACACTAGAGTTAATCTATTGTACTTTTTATTATTATTAAGCTCCTTGTAGTTAACTTCTGTCCATGGACGCAAGTTGATGAGATTAAAACATGGCAAGTGCATTAATGGAACCTTGGCCTGCTGGTGCATGTGGGGCAAAGTTCATTTAACCATTTAATGCCTTAGTTGAAAGCCTATAGATTTTTTTTTTTTTTTTTTTGCGGTATGCGGGCCTTTCACTGTTGTGGCCTCTCCCGCTGCGGAGCACAGGCTCCGGACACGCAGGCTCAGCGGCCATGGCCCCCGGGCCCAGCCGCTCCGGGGCATGTGGGATCCTCCCGGACCGGGGCACGAACCCGCGTCCCCCGCATCGGCAGGCGGACTCTCAACCACTGCACCACTAGGGAAGCCCAAAAGCCTATAGTTTCATAGTTTGGTTTTTTTTTTTTCCCATTTAATGTGTTGTCACCATCTTTCCAAGTTAATAACTACACTTCTGAACTATAATTTTTTCGTGGTTATGTGACATTTCATTGTGTGGCTGTTCTGCAATTTGTTTAGCTAATTCTGTTTTCAGTTTTTCCCCATTATAAACAAACATCTTTTTTAGACTCTATCCTTATTTTATAGGATAGGGCTTTAAAAATGGGTATATCATGCATATTCCCAGACCTTTTCTATGTAAAGTGTTTAAATTGTGAAATACTTAAAATATACTGAAAGGACAGAAAAAATATAATAAACACCTTTGTACCCTCCACCTAGCTTTAAAAAATAGTAAAGTTTTGTCATGTTTGCTTCAGATTTTCTGTAAAGAAATAAGAAAGTATGGATGTTGTTAAATTGCCACTGTCCCCTACCTCCTCATCAGATGCTTTTCCCACCCTTTCTCCTTAGAAAAAGGACTACCTAGAGATATTCTTTGATTTTTTTTTAAATAAATTTATTTATTTACGTATTTATGGATTTATTTTTGGCTGCGTTGGGTCTTCGTTGCTGCGCGTGGGCTTTCTCTAGTTGCAGAGAGCGGGGGCTACTCTTCATTGCGGTGCGTGGGCTTCCCATTGCAACGGCTTCTCTTATTGGAGAGCATGGGCTCTAGGTGTGCGGGCTTCAGTAGTTGTGGCATGTGGGTTCAGTAGTTGTGGCTCGCGGGCTCTTGAGCACAGGCTCAGTAGTTGTGGTGCACAGCCTCAGTTGGCTCCGCGGCACGTGGGATCTTCCCGGACCAGGGATTGAACCCGTGTCCCCTGCACTGGCAGGTGGATTCTTAATCACTGTGCCACCAGGGAAGTCCCTGAATTTTCTTTACTTGGGTTTGTTTCTGGTTTAAATATTTTGTTCTGTTGCACTGATAATTGTTACTATATCAATACACATTGTTTTAGTTCTTAAAACTTTATATAAAGTCTTGATGCATGGTAGGTTGAGTTCCCCGACCCCTTCTTTATTTTCTTCAAAATTGTTTTGGCTATTCCGAGATCTCTCTTCCCTCTTTCAGGATCAGCTTGTTGAGTTATATGTTTTGATTAGAATTTCAATGACTTTATAGATTATTTCTGGTAGAAATAGATATATATATTTCTTCCACTCATAAATATTTTATATATCACTTTATTGATATCTTAGTGCTTCAGTTTTTTTTTTACTAAGTGTTTTCAATGAAGTTTTAAGTGTTTTCTATAAAAATACATTACATGTTTGATTAAATTTATTCCTGTGTTTTTTTAGAAGCTATTATAAATACCATCTTTTATAAAAATTATATTTTTAATTGTTCATTGCTGTACTATAGGCCCTCTATGGGCTTTAATATATTGGCTTTTATATTTCATAACCTTGCTGAACTCTCTTATTAGTGCAATAGTTTGTAGTTTATTTTGGATTATCTGGGTTGATAATAACAGGTTAGCTCTTCTTTTCCACTCCTTGTACTATCTCTAGTATTTTCCTGTTTTATTGAGCTGCCTAAGACCTTTTTAATTAATTAATTAATTAATTTATGGCTGTGTTGGATCTCCGTTGCTGCGCGTGGGCTTTCTTTAGTTGTGGCGAGCAGGGGCTACTCTTCGTTGCGGTGCTCGAGCCTCTCATTGTGGTGGCTTCTCTTGTTGGTGGAGCATGGGCTCTAGGCGCGCGGGCTTCAGTAACTGTGGCTCACAGGCTCTAGAGCGCAGGCTCAGTAGTTGTGGCGCATGGGCCCAGTTGCTCTGCGGCATGTGGGATCTTCCCAGACCACTGCGCCACCAGGGAAGCCCCTGCCTAAGACCTTTTGTAGAATATTGGATAGAAGCAATGATAGTCACGTTTATTCCTGTTCTTGCCTTTAAAGAGGATGTTTTTAGCATTTTACCATTTTTTTGTTTGTTTTTACTGTGGAATCTTGGCAGGTAGTCAGCTGTATACTGTTAAGTCTGTTCCTTTGTATTTCTGTTTTGCTAAGAGGTTTTTAAAAAAATTTATGATTGTTGAATTTTATCAAATGCTTTTCTGCATGCTTTGAGTTTTTTTCTTTAATGTGTTAATGTGGTTACCTACTTTAATACGTTTTCTGATGTTAAACTATTCTCGTATTCCTGAAATAAATCTTCTTTGATTGTGAAATACCATGTTTGTTGATTCTGAGGTGCAGATTTTTTACATTTTCACATTTCTGTAAGTAGAATATGTTTTACAGTCAATGGCATCTTCTAATTGCTCTTGCTTGAACTTGGTTACCTGTGATACCTTAGCGTTTTAGTTAACAGCCATTTAAGGACCCTTTGAGGAAGAAATAGGAGTCTTGATTGTTGCTGAAAACTTTCTGTTGTTAACTTCTGGTAAAGTAAGAACATTTCAGCAGCAAAACTTTCCGATTATGTGTCAGTGGCTTAGAAGAAAATGCCAGAGAGAATGGTAGAAACTATTTTTTGAAATGTTACATACTACCACCTCTTGATGGCAAGAATAAATATCAAAGACTCTGAATTGTAAGGTGATTTA